GAAAGTGATGTCTGAAAACAGGATGAAAGCACTCGGGCTCATTAGCTCCACAGCCAGGGCAGCACCAGCTCCGCCACACTTGAACTTGTCTTTGAGAAGCTCATGTGCTAGCTGGCAGTTCTCACTATTTTTCAAACCCTGTAGATGAAAATCCTCCAGAGGTTGGTTCATTTTCCCCATGAATTAAAGCAAAAGCAACAACACGATTTTACATGGTTATTCAGGTTCTTTGGGAAAGAGGATGGATGTGAACATATGAATGAGGTCATCTGAAAAAATTGTTTTATTTACCAGGGTCAAGGCAATTCTCTGCATAATTTGGAGTTTGTTCACTGCTCTTCAAATAAAAATGAGGTTCCTCTACCGCCTTGACCTACCACGTCTAGGATTCACCCACCAGTTTTGTGTCCTCCATATCTTTAAGGCTAAGCACGCGAGTAAGTCTTTATCCAAAGTGAACCACACCCTCCTTCATTCACCATTTCGTGTTAACACAGGAGTCTGCAAAAGAGAGTCCCTCATTTGAGAAGTTCAAAGCCAACCCAACCATTAAGCGACTTGAAGATCAAGTGTGCCAATATCTTTGTTGGATTACTCTTGATATTTTCAGTGTTACTTTTGCTGGCCACTGTTACTATATTCCCTCCCACCCACCCAAAAGTGTTTTTCTAAAAACTGGAGACTAAAATTCTGAGGCAAAGGCAGTCGACCAACACGATGATATGTAAAGAAAAGCAGAAATTCTGGCCAGGGAGGCCCTCCAAGGACAAATGCTTTGGGCTTCACCGTTTTCTAAAGCAACGCTTCCCAAACTGTGCTGAAGACTCGTTTTCTTTTATTTCCAATTATTTTCAACATACAAGCCCTACTTTTTCACGCTTGGATTCAACAGACATCACTCTGTCAACTTGCTCCAAAGTTTCTAAATGCCTCCTCTCGATTCTACGCTTGTCACAGACCAGTGACAGCTGGCCCAGCTGCCGTCCAGACAGCACGCTTGGGATAGCCATGGACAGAAGTCTCATGCTTTTTTTTTTTAATCTTCACCCAAGGACATTTTTTTTTCACTGCTTTTAGAGCAAGAGGAAGGGAGAGAAAGAAACATCAATGTGAGAGAGAGATACCAACTAGTTGACTTATTTGAGACTGGACCAGGGATCTATGCCCAGTTGGACCGGGATCTGTGTCCAGACCTGGTCCCACATGCCCGCACCTGGACAAGATATCCAACCCACAACCTAGGTATGTCCCCTAACCAGGAATCGAACCTGCAGCCTTTCAGTTACAGAACGACGCTTCAACCCACTGAGATCCCGGCCAGAGCTCTCCTCTCTTTCTTCAGAACTGTAATTCTTACATTCCAGATGTTGAATCTCTGGAATGCAACAAGGTCCACCCAGACCTCTTCCCATAGCTCTGAAAAGTGAACATGTAAAAGGAGGCTCTGACCACAGAGGAAAGGGGACAGCTGCGACCCTCGGCGCTCTGGGGCTTTGTCGCTGCTGCTGCTGCTCTACCTGCTCAAGCACACTGCAGGGGCCACCTAATCCAGCCACTCCTTCACAGCGGAACAGCAACCAGGGAGAGGAAGCGAGGGTCGACTCCCCATGCAGCCCCTTCCTGGCTGTGCCGCTTTGGGTCAGGAACTCAGCCTCAGGACCCTTCTTTCTTTATCCGTAAAACAAGGGAAACGACAGGATCTCCCTTCCAGGGTTAAAGGGAGATGTTGCCTATTGAGAGCTTAGCACAGTGAGTGACGCATTCTGGGCGTTCAGTGAATGTCAGTCACGCTGCCCACAAATTTAACAAATGGTGTCACGCCCCTATGAAGTGAAATGACGCCTTGCGTGCACAGCATCCTAAGAGCTGGCCACCCTGTGTCCTCACTTGGAGATGCCGAGGGTCACGTTTCCACCACAAGGTCAAGGAGAAAGAGCCAAAAGCTGCTGCGGTTGGAGCTGTGGGCGCCGACTCTGCCCCCAAAGCCCTGTGCAGAAAGGCACACCCATTAGTCCACGGCAGACCACAGGCACGAAATGTTTCCGACGGTGGCACCAGCCATGGGTCCCGACCTCAGCCCTCTCCAAGGCTGCTGCTCACGGCATCACTTTCGCCGGCACAGAAAAGCCCTTGATACTCAACTCGGTTCCCTGTCTGACGACACAGGTCGGGCTGCTTTTCACTGATCACGTGGGCCTCGGGCATCCAGAGGGCTGAGCTGCGCCCCTGCCTGGTTCTGCCCCTGGACAGTGTGGGCCTTGAGCCAGATCCTCAGTCTTCTGCCTCAGGTTCCCATCAGCGACAGGGAGGTTGTTAGAATGCCGCCTCCCCTTTAGACATACATTACACGTATAATATATATATGTTACATGTGTTATATACAGGGCGGGGCAAAAGTCAGTGTACTGTTGTTCACACGTAAAACAATGCAATAATAATACAAGGATAAACTCCGTGTTTCGTGCATTCCCAACCATAAACCTACTTTTGCCCCACCCTGTATATATATGTATGTAGACATATATATATGAAGAATTATTCTTTTTCACATGGTACTTCCCCTGCCCCCCAGGACACACTATAAACCCTTTAAGCACAAACTGTTATGGTCCAAGTGCTACCATCATTCAACACAACAAAATGATGATTCAGGGAGCCCCGTGGATCCTTTCCGGCTCTGAAAGCTCACACCACAAGCCGTTTTACTTCTGAAACCATGAGCTCCGGTTTTTGTTTATCACCAGCATCTCCTGCAGGGCCTCCCCCAACCGACGTCATTGGCCCATCCGTTTGGGGTTCACCTCGGTGTCTCCGTTCACCCCTTGGCTGCGCCAGCAAGTCTCAGAGAAGACCGGCTTTGCCAGCCATCTGCCACCCCACCCCTGATGTTTGGCTGCCTGTCTGTAACCCGTACTGGAGTGACTGCAGGCTGGCCCCGAGCACACGTCTGTCCGGCACTCGGACATTCCTGGCCGACCTCATGCCAACGTCCACTCCCTGGCGCTGAGGATGCTGCTTGTTCTCTTGAGCCGACATTACTTGTTCCCCCTGAACTCTGTCCATCGGGAGTCCTAACCTCTTATTTCTTCCCACTCCAAATCCTTCTTTTGGTTTTTTTGTGAGTTAGTTAATATGTTAAAAAAAAATCTCTGGATGAATTCTGAACTGGAGGCTTTTCATTTCTAAGCACTGAATATTCTCTCCAGCAACGGGGCCAAGTAGTCATCCAGTGTAAGCTTGCTCTCCCCCACTGATGGGGACCTCACTCTCTCCTGGGGCAGCTGCGTTGTGAGAGAGTTCTCCTTCATTCTGATCTGGGAGACATCTCCCTTCCATCACTAGGTTTTATTCAGCCTTCGCCCGCACAGTCAGGTGATCTACAGAGCCAACCAAATCCCCCTTCCGTGTGGTGTCCTCTTCCGTGGGGTGGCTGAGGACCCTCTGCTGCAGACTAAACCAGCCCTGATCCGAGTGCTTCAGCACTCCACTCACCTCCTCTCTGGACGGGCTCGGGTAACCCGCCGGGGTGCTGGGACCTCCTGCGCTGTGCGCTTTCTCCTCCTCTGTCCCACCTCTTCATTCTCCCCACCACCGAATGGCATGGGCACGACCTGCCAGTGAGCTTGCTCAGTGACCCCAGCCACACAGGATCTCACGTCCACTCTGAGCTAACATGACAGCCCCCACGGGTGGGTGGCTGGCACATAACACATTTCCCGTCACTCCCCATACACCCGAGTTGGCCCAGCTGTTCATGGGACAGCGAGCATGGCACCGCGGCACAGCCAGAAGCTCAAAGCCAGCCTCCCACCAAGCCCCACGGGCTGCCGTGACTGCACCTGGACCCAGGACCCTGGCCCTCCATTCCCACCCGCCCCCCGGCGGCTTTCCCGGCCTGAGCCCCTCCCTTGCATTTGAGCTCTCGATGTCACCGTCCACGAGGGGGACCAGAGAGGCCACGCACCGTTCCTTCCTACTGACGTGCTAGCTAAGGCCGTACTGAACGGACATTTGTGCGGTGCTTTATGATTTACACCTGTCCTATCTTAACCTCCAGGGCAACCCCGAGGGGTGGGGGTCATCCTCACTTTACGGACGAGGAAACTGAGGCAGGCCTGGAACCGGAACCCAAGGGGTCTTCTGATTTCATATGTATTTTAGCATTGGAAGCTTACACGTCTGAGGCAGAAACGGGTTCCTAAGGGTAAGTTCCAAGTATCAAATGCAGAATGAATCCAGGCAGGGGGTGGGGGGTGGGAAGCAGAGGAATCTGGTTTCTATTTCTGGTGTTGCTGTAAATTAACTCATAGGTTCACGGTCCTGGTCCTCAGTTTCCTCATTCATACAATCAGGGGACCGAATCCAGACACCCCTGCCGTGTGTTCCTGCTCAGCTGTCTCCCGTCGGCTGCCCTGTCTCCACCACGTTGCTAAAACTAGGCAGAAAACATTGCTGAAATACCTTTCTTTTTTGTTCCCTGTGTTTTTAAAGTTTCTAAGATTAGCCAGATAGGATTTGATAACTATCCAGCTCGTGTGTCAAGAGGGCAGAAATCTGCCATCTATATAAGAGTTAATATTTAAGCAGTAACGAGAAGATAAATCTGGAAACCCCAGCCACAGGGCTGCACCCACAAAGGTCCTGGTCCCCTGGAAGGCCATCTTTACAGCCACGTATTCTTAGAACAGTGGGTCTCCACAACCCAGGGGACACTTGCAATGTCTGGAGACATTCTGGGTTGTCGCAACTGGAGTAGGTGTTATGGGAATCCAGTGGGTAGCGGCCAGGATGCTGTTAAGCATCCTGCGAGGTGCAGGGCAGTCCCCACAACAGTTACCTGGGCCAAGGTGTCAACAGCGCTGAGGCTGAAAATCCCCGTTCATGAGTCAGGCGAAAGAAGGGCCCCACACGCTTCCTCGTGTCTTAGCTACTGTGGCCCACGTGCCGGCCTACCCAGGCGGGCTGATCCAAAAGAACCGAGGTCTGGACACCTCTCTTACCTTGCGAAGAAGGAAGCAGCCACCGAGGTGCCCGCGGAGGTCTCGGCAGCCACGCAGGAGCCCTGCGAGGCCGGGACGCTGGAGGCTGAGGGCTTGTCTGCATTGTAGCGATTCAGCGCCGCTTCTGACAGCCCCTCCCGGCCAGCCTCTGTCATCAGCTGAGAGATCTGAGGAGGGAAATGGACACGGGGCTCATTACCTGTGGCTCCCTGCATGTCCTGCCCTCCTCTGACGGTGTCTCCCCGGAGCGTGTGGAGGGGAGAGGTCCGAGGAATGCGCCCCCCTCCCATGCTACACAGCCCAGGTGGAGCTCAGAGCTTCTCTGAGGCTATTTTTCATCATTTTAGCTAGGACACCTCCTCGCGTGCATTAAAAATAATGGCATAAAATCACCCCCTGACACTGTAAGTTTCAATTATGTCTGTGTCTCCCCTCCATTTGGAAGGGAGAGCACAAGCCATTATCCACACTGTTTGCAGCCCAAGAACCAGACCAGCGACATCAGCCAGGGCTAGCCAGCGTCTTCCCAGGAACGGCTCTCAAACAGACAAGTGGGACAGAGGTATCACTTTATTAAGGGAGGCATGAACCTGCTAATGACGAACGTGAGGAATTGAAACATTATTTCTTGTTGTTGTTTGCTATAGGCAGCCAGCTCATAAAAATAGACACGGCCACCATGAATTACCAGTGGGGTTTATGAGGAGGGTTTAGATCATTTCAATAGACTTAATGTTCCTACTGGCTCGTTAAGATAAGTGGCTTCCATTTTATTTGCAATAATTGCCTTTATCCTGGAAGTTCTAGCTGATGGGGCTAAATCCGCATAATGTGCCATGAAGAACCGTACTTCTGGGCAAAACGAGGGGCTGGGGTGGAAACATCCTAGGAAAGCGCTTATCCCGTGACAAATGCAGTAATTATGCAGGCAAGTCTCATGCGCTGTTTCAAAAACCTGTTACTTTAAAACTTCAGTCTACTTGCAAGAAAGTGAAAATTTTTTTTGTGTTTGTTTTTTTAAAGGACACTTTAGTTTAAAAAAAAAAAAAGTCTCCAGCCAGCTCAAAGTTCTTAAATGCCGAGTGGAAAGGGATTCTAATCGCCTAGAAAGGGCGACCCAGTGAAGACGGGGAACAGGTTCCACTCGGAGCCCGAGCTGGCCCACAGGCCAGTGACAGAGCCCCGCTCGCTAACCTTTGTGCACAGAAGCATTGGCACCTTTCATCATTAGCAGAGCAGCCGTCACTCGGAGCCCCGGTGACTTGAGACTCTGCTCTTTCTTGGAAAGCCTAGCCATTAGTCAGCTGAAATTCTGCCAGCACACACTTTCTAATTCTCACTCATTCACCGCGTTGTCAGGAGGCCCGGCCCCCATAAGAGAACCCGGACTGGAGGTGGCAGAGGCAGCGAGTGGACAGCCTGGAACGCGTCCCCGGCGCTCAGCAGGGACGCTGCCCAGGGCAAGGGGACTGGCCACCTCCCCCTGTGCTCCATTGCCGTGGGCTCCCCTCCACCACCTGCCACTCTCCCGGAGGGATGAAGCCGGCCAGAGGGGGCCACTGAGATGACCAGGGGGCCGAGGATATGGGCATCAAGCTGTCATCACCACAGCACGGCACTTACGCACCCCCGTGGAACACGATGGCATCCTGGGCAGCACCCACACACAGACCCCCAAGTTCATAGCACCGTTTCATCCCATCAAGTAGCTACAACCACAGACACAGACGCTGATCGTAACGGACAGAGACATCTGAACGCTGGGGTTCTCACCCAAGCACCGTCAGGCTTGTGACCCAGACCGCACTCTTCCTCAGCCCGGCAAACGACCCATGTGGCAACCCCACAGGCTGTCCCTGGCGGTTCCTCCCTAAAAGACAAAAGGACTTGCCTACCGGGGGCATGTGGCTGCAGAAGAACTGCTCCCACCCAAACTCTCTGTCTGCGGCCCTCGAAACGGCGACAGCCCACCGCTGAGTGGGTTAGATAGACATCAAGCCGGGAAGATGAAGGTCCACCCTGTACTACATCATCTCTGATGGAACAAAAGATGCCCCTCTGTCTGCCCCTTGGCTGTTGACGTACCCCTTCTTCCTCGTACAAACCTCACCTGAAACAAACAGGTTCAAGTCAGGTAGGCAGGTAGGCTATGATTCCCATTTCATGGAGGAGAAAACAGAGGCCCAGAGGAGTGAGGTGGCTTGTCCGAGGCTCTTCGGCCACCCAATAGGACCGTTCCCATGGCAAGGCCGGCCGCAGGGTCCTTTCTTTCTTCTTTTTTTCTTACGATACGACCGCAACTCAGTGACTGAAGTTTACTGAATAACCCGGGCTCCAGACAGACTCGGGGGATTACGGAGAGTAAACTCTGCTTAGTCCCTGGCCTCAGGGGATTTGGAAGAAAGCTCGGTAGAAAAACCTGTGGTCGGCCCGAGACGCACGTCCTCGCTCCCTCTCTGCAGTAAAGGTAAGCGTGTGTGCAGAGAAACACCACCTGGGGCTCAGCAAGGGGGAGCTTCCGGAACTCGGTTCTAGTCAAATCTTCAGAGCCTCTTTGACTCAAGATTTGCAGGAGACCAGCCCTCAGGGGACCGGAAGGAAGGCAGGCATCGGCGTTGACCGGCTCAGCGTCCGTGGGGCAAGCCACAGGGAGCCAGCCCCGGGTGTGGAGGCCGGAGTGGGGGGAAGGTGCTGAACCCGGGTCACCTCCAGCAGGCTTCTGAAGGAAAGGGACCCTGGGCCCACTGGCCGCAGCCCCTGGTCATTCAACACGTGGGACCGAGACTGCCACACCCCTCAGGCCTCACCATGAATTTCCTCACTCCTCAGCCTCCCGCACATCGGGGCTGGCTCTCCGGAGTGACGTGGGGCAGGCAGAGGACAGTCCCTAAGGGACCTGAGGAGGGTTCCTCCCACGGCCACCCTCACCCCAGCTCCTGTTGCTGTCCCCCACTCTTGGCGGCACCCAACGCACTCGGGAGCAGTCATTCTCCTCCTGAGCTCAGGGCTGGGACCTCTCTGACCAGTGGGTGGCCCAAGCCCACACATACTTCAAAAGCAAGCCTCAGGGCGGCTGCTTTTCGCTGCCAGTTATAATACAGGCTCTGTGCTGGAGGTAAAGTCTGCCCCAAAGCTTGGGGCGCTCCCATGGGTTGAGGAGATGACCCCCCAAGAACCCTTGCCCCTTCTCCAGCTACTCAGCAGTCCCCCGTCCTGTTCCCAAGCCAAGTGGGGGCCCGGGAGACGGGGCTGAAGGAGGAGGGGCTGTCGTGGGTCCCCACAGAGCCCTCTCCACAGTCCTGAAGGTTGTCCCCTGTGGAAACTCGGTTACAGGATCATTTAACCATTTTTGCCCTGAGGAAGCTGATGGGCAGAAAGATGGGGTCGTTTCCCCAGGGACAGCAGCTGAGGTCGGCCCCCCAGATTCGTTCAACCCTGAGACGATCTTCATTCCGCAGTCCACCCCTTGGATCAATTCCTCCCTTCGGGACCACTTCCCATCTCAAGGCTGCTCTCAGGCCCCTCCCACAACCCACTCCAAGAGAAGATGCCCAGGACAGCAGGGACCCCCGGATGCTCCAGCTTCAGTGCGTGACTCGGAGCCACGAGCTTTAGTCTTTGGAGGACCAGGGTGGGCCTGTATGGTGGGCTGTAGGACCGTTCTGAATTCACTTCTTCTCTCACAGGACTGTACAAGGTAAGGGTTGTCCCTGAGAGAATTCAGATTCAAGAACCTCAATCCAACCCCCGTGAAAACCCCAAGGTTCTGGTGGAAGAGTCTGTCACCTTGATTATGCCTGCGTGTCACCGTCCTAGACTAGAAGCAGCCGCTGAAAACTCGCTGGGTGTCCTAATCACAGACTTCGCGGGGCCGAGGGGCAGGGGGGCGGTCAACTAGATTTTTCAGGACAGGATTTGATTTGGTTTGGTTTGGTTCTGATTAAGACCTGCTTTGAGCTGTGCGCCTCGGACCGGTTCGCTGGAGTAACAGTCCCTGTCACTTTCAACACCGGGTCCCATCCCATGGGGGGTGGTCAACTCAATGCAGGGTGGCAGCGAAAGGGACCGGGCCACAGGGAGCGGGTGCACATGTGTATTTGCACACGTGTGTGCTTGTACATGCGGCGCCCTCAGCGTGCATGCGAGCCCCAGCTGCCATCATGTGCATGGGAAGCTGCTCTCCCCAGAGCCCTCAGACCCAGCTGCCGTCTATTTTAATCGCAGGCGAGAGTTGTGTCTTTCAACCACGCATGAATTTCACTCTGACACTTGAGTACGAGGAGCTGCAGACTTGCCCCCAGAGAGAAAGGAGATCTTGGATGTGGTGATGATCTTGACCACAGAATCCAGACAAAAGAGGTTTGGCTCTTACAAATCGAGGTCACTTCCCCGTCTCCAATCGCAACCTGTAAGCTGTTGACCTTTCACTTCCCAGCTGACAGGAAAGCCTCTGGGGGCTGCCAGAGGGTCTCAGCACGGGGGTCCCTCCTAAATGGCATTCTTGACCCAGAAAGCCGCCCCCCTCTGACTCTGCAAAGGCAGCAGGGAGCACCGGGAGCATCCATTTCCTGCGCAGAGGCAGCTGCCGACAGCAAATGCGCCCTACTCGGTCTAGAACTACAGTAAACGACACAATGACCCCCGATTCCCAGAAAATAACATCTAATAGCACTTTCTCCTAAACGCTTACTTTCTCAGTGTTCAGGGACAGACATCTCTTGGGCTGTTACTTATTACTCACAATGTGCTTTAATGTTTTTATGGTTTTGCAAACAGTAGGTGCTCAATAAATATTTCTGAGCCCAAACCAACTTACGACGACCTGGAAAACGACGGCCCTCAGTACCGTCATGAGACGCCCCTGCACTGTTGGCTGGCGTGCTCAGGGACACAGAATGCTGAAATACACTTTTTAAAAGCCGAAGTAAAATATAAATTAGGAAAGCACATCTGGAAAAAAAAAAAAAAAGACCAAAACATAGATTCCCGAGCCAAAGGTAACCCCGTGGAGCTGAGCCCGCCGGCCTCCATCAGGCCGTGGACAATGCTGGCGCCCAGAAGCCCACCCTCTCCAGGAGTCCCTGTGCAGCCACCCAGGCCCACGAGCTCTCGGGAGATTTCGCTCGCAACCGAGAGAGAGAACGACTTATGTCCCCATCTGTGTGGG